ACAAACACGCACACCCCACTGGCTCGCACCGCCCCCGCGCCCAGCCGCGGTTTCCAGGAACCATCCCCAGGTGGTCAGTCCTGAACCCCCGGCTGCCCCCCGACCCCCGAAAGAGGCGACATCGAGCACAAAACACATGGCCTGTCGGGGGGAAGCTTGCTGATGTGGGGGTATTTTCCCCGGGCTTATTTTTCCTTCACCCTTTGGTCATATTTCCTCACGGGATTTTTGGAAGTGAAAAGGGTACTAAAGGATCTTCCAGTTCTGCCCCGTGCCAAAACACAACTCTCTTTTTTTTTTTTTTTTTTTTTTTTTGCTAAGCAAAGCCGTACCCAGGTCTGCAGCATGTGAGGACTCGGACTTGAGTGTACCCCACTGATCCTGCACCCTCGCTGCAGCTACCCCAGACAGCTAATTCTGTGTTTGGGTCCCCAGATGTAAACACATGCACAATCACAGATGCACACATCGAGCATTTTTTTAATAGCAGTTTCATAGAGAGGTAGTATGATCGTATATATCTAAAAGGTAATTAATTTGATTTATTATACTTGAAAAATCCTGTCTGCAGTACGGGCGTCATCTGGAAACTTCATGCTATTTTATACTATCGTTCTAAAGCCGAAATAAATGTTACGAATTGATGACAGCTTCCAGCTGCATGATAAAAATAGCCCCTTCTCTTCACAGGATCGTGTTTCATGTTATCGAAGATGAACCAAATCTGACCCATAGACGTTCGCAGCAGGGGGAAAAAAAATTGATACAAAATAAAAACCTCGGCCATTTTTAATAAACAATGCTCCCTAAAACGCAGTACCTTTGCGGTGAAATGGAACCCACCTTCATACGTTCAGCAGGTTCAGGAAACCAGACCTGCCCCTCATTCAAAACAGAAATCTCAATTATTAATCTTTCTGGGTGAATTTGGAAATTACGCCCATTCTGTTACAAATGCCACCCACTGAACAGAACATTTGCATTGAGGTTCTGTGAGCCTTCGAAAATATACTTCCGCGCAGACACATGGATGTGTGTCTTTCTAGAAACACCGTTCTTTCTTTACGTCCAAATGTAGATAGAGACAGAGGTAATGTACAGATGCGGACATATTTGTAATACAATCAGCAACGCGAGCCGTGATTTCGGCTATCTTGTGTGCCTCTGCGGCAGTGACCGTGTGTCCTGAGAGTTGTAGCCCCGGCACAGGCAATGTCCGTGCCCGCCGCGGGACCCCCCGCGCCCGCGGAGCCGCTCCGCAGGCCGGGCTGCGCGGCCGCGCCGGGCCCCGGCCGGGCCTCTCAGCCTTCCCCGGCCTCTCCCCGGCAGCGAAGCCCCGCTCGGCCGGGAATCGCCAGGCACCTTTTGAGGGAAAAGCGCTGATTCCCGCGGGAGCGCCGCGCTGACCGCGGGGATGGAGCGCTCCTCTCGTGTGCGTGGGGCTGCGGGCGCGTCCCAGCCTCGGGCGGGCACGGCCGTGGGGGCCTCGCAGGCGGGCTGCGGGTGAGAACGGGGTGCGTGAGTGTGCAAATGCGGATGGAAACTTTGTGATGGTGATGCACGGTGTGCCCGGTACCTGCACAGCCTCCTCCGTGGGCGTACCGCTCACGAACTCCTCTCCCTCTGAGCTCCAGCGGCAAAACGCACACGGGTTCTTTTAGCGTCGGGTCACTTGACATACCCTGCCCTTTCCAGAGGGGATCTTCCCCGTCCTGCCTGCTGGAAGCGGGATTTGCAGCGGGGCTCTGGCTCGGCGCCGGCCGCGCCGGGGCTCCTGCGGCCCCGGGTGTGCGGCGGGGGCTCCTGGATGCCCTCCGGCCCGGCCCGGCCCGCGGCCCGGCTCGCTGCTCGCCCCCTTTGGAAGTTGCTGCGAGAGGAGCGAGGGTTCTGGACACAGGAAAACTTACAAAGCCAGAGCCGTTTACTAGCGTGGCCAGAAAAGCAGTAAATAAAAGCGCCGGTGCTCCGTGCATCAGTCCGGGGACTGCTGCTTCCTCACGGCTAAAAGAAGGGCGATAAGCGGACGAGGCCAGCGCGGAGCGGGTGTCCCCATTTCAAACAGTGTCTGGACTAAAGAAGCTAACTTTGCCTTATGAATGCCGGACTTGCCTTTTAATAAATTCAGGCGATCACTCACAAACCATTAAAGCGACCTGAAAGGCGAGTCTTTCGCGGGGGAAGTGGAAGCGCCTGATTATTGTTTTGCATTTAACTTTCTGCGTGCAAACGGCACAAGCTCGGCCGGGGGTTGCCACCCGAGAGGGGCCAGCACACACGGCCCTCCACACGCCCAGCCGAACAGCCTCCTGCACCCTCCCCGCCGGCACTGCCGTCCTGCTTTGGGTATCTTCAAACGCTCCCCAGCCGCGGCGGGAGCCTCCGCGGGCGCGGGAGACCGCGGACGGCAGACATCGGACCTAAGCGTTTTGTGTACCCCGGAGCAGGCAGCGCGGAGCGGCGCGGGGCTGTCGGCACGGCCTGCCGTGGGCTGAGAAATCTACTTTTCCCACGCAGGAAAAGTACCGCGACACCATCTCCAGAGCCAGACATCGGAAAGAAAGTGATGGCCCCCGTTGAGGCTGGAGAGCCGGGGTCGGTGCTTCTCCTCACAAGCCTTCGTGAATAAATCCGCAAAGGGAGCCTTGCTAGAGGAAAGTTGACTTTAGGGACTAAAACAGCGCAGAAACCCCCGAGAGAAACCTCACAACCTCTCTGCCCGAAAAACATCTCTCTCTCTGCCGGGGATTTCAAAGCACTGCTCCCCTCTCCAGAGCCAAACGAACAGCACAAGCACCAGCATGGCGTGGACTTGAATTCAGCATTAACAATTCCAGCCCCAGTGATCGTCGCTAATTCAGAACATACACGGGATGGAGATCAACCAGTATCGCACAGTTCCCCCTCACCCCAGATAAAAAACCTACAGCAGCAGCAGCAACAACATCAGAATCATCCTTTCTGCTGTAGGACGCTCAAACAAACCCCAGACTGAAAGTTTAAAAGAATACTCATTAGCCAAGTGTTCCAATACACACAAGTAACAGATCTGTGTTAAGCGACCACTAGGGACTTTACACAAGTTCAAAGAAAGTTGCAATACGCATCTTTAAAATATCTCACCCTCACCACGTTTCTCCGGGTTTGCTTTACAGATGGGTGGCTCAGACGAGCTCAACGATTCTTTTTTTTCTTAGATACGCCCAGGTTACATTTTTTATAAACGATGCCCTGTAAAATCGCCGAGACAGTTACTCTGAAAGATTCGCAACAAAGCAACATTTTCGGCGCATGAAACACTTTTTCCCCCGGCTCTTTTGCCCGGTGGGCTACATTTCCTCAAGTCCCAACACTTTCTGCCCCGGTCCCACCGGGCTCCAACTTTTCCTATCTCGCCAAACCCTGCAAGGTGGCGCTCTTTTCATTGAAAACTGGTATTAGCCTTACAATAATAACATTTTATAGAAAGTAAAGTTAAAGCGAAGCCTTCCCACGGGTGCTGCAGGGAGCAGGCGGCGATGCCGAACTGGCAGGAGTAGGGATTCGGATGAGCAAGACAAACTCTCTTTTTTTTTTTTTCCTCCTTTTTTTTTTTTTTTTTTGGAGGGGTGGGGGGTGAGGCGTATGCTCTCGGGCAGTGGAAAGTCTCTCTCAGGGAGATCCCCAAATGTTGCGGACAAAGAAACATCCTTGCGGAGGGCTGCTGAGAGGCAGGGCTGTGCTCTGGGCGGGTTACCGCCGGGGCTGCGGAGTGCCCGCACTGATGCGAGGGGAGAGCGGCTTCCCCCGCACCCCCGCCCCCCGAGCGGTTAATATGGCTATTGACTCGCTGTACACATAATATTTCTTTAAAGAAGCTGTTAAAGTGTCATCTTGGTCTACTGGAAGGTCAGTTTGTGCAATTCACTCTATGACATATCACAAGCCCTCGCAGCTTTAGCCAACCTCATGATTTGTGTTGTCTGTTGATATGTTGTCTGCTTAATGGGGCGATCATGCAAGCTACAACCAGGAACAAAGCCCAACAGTTCCAACAACCGTAGCTAAGTTAGTGGAAGCAGTACAGCTTGCAAATCTATCAAACTAAACTGCAAGGAAGACAATCTGATTTAGAGAAAAGGCGTTCTGCTACAGTCATTAAGCACAAGTAATTTAGATTTTTTATATTGTCTTCTCATTTACAAATTTACTGTATCAACGCCAGCCAATGGAACGAATTTCTTAAGTAAATGAGAAATAAATAAAAGAGATAGAAAGATAATCAAATTACATAAAATAATTCTTATGCCCTACATTTATTTTTTTAGAAAGCTATTAACACTAGCAAAATTATAGTAATAATAATAACATAGCATAAGAAGTAATTGATTTAAATTAACATCACGTTTTAAGGAATATCAGCAAAGAAAAAAAAAGAAGAAAAAATCAAATAAAAATACACACAACAACAACAACGGCCTTCGTGAAACAGTGCTGTACTTCTTGGAGTAAAAGGCCCAAGGAAAGTCATGAATCCACTGCCTAAGAATTAGTTATGGTCATAAATGCCTTAAATTAAAATAGCAACCGAAATCTCCTCTGTTTTAAATCTCCTAATATATGTTATCCGAATTAATTTAATTTAGGGACCCAGTCTATGCAGATTCATGGACAGTGTTGGACTGGAATGCAGCACTTCTCGTGTAACAATTCCCCACATTAATATTTATGTAGCATATGCAATCTATTTCTGTTATTTTTATGGTTGTTATTCTATGTCTGCAAAGGTCATTTAAATTATACTGCGGCCGAAAATTTGTTTCATAAATTTTGATATAAATACTAATTACACACTATAGTAATGCCAGCAGGGATCCTTTCATTTATCACATTTATATCACCTTCGCTGCTTTAGTGATGACATAATGGAAAGCAGTGAAAAACTGGGACAGTTTTATTCTAATATCCTAAAGCTAGTAGGAGTTGCAGCAGGTTGACTTAGTGAATAAGAATTCCTACCACAATTCTTGGGATTTAAGAATCTTTAATAAGGTACGAAATGTTACCAAACAGTTCTGTAAACTAAATTTTACATACCAATTCTTCTAGCCATAAATATTGAATATCTTGTAACAGGTATAACCGGACCTTTACATGCGGATAAATATGGAAATTAGGATTTATATACATTATGTTCTTGTATTTGCCAAAAGCAACGGACAGATATAGTTTATATCTTTTTTTTTTTAATATCACTTTACATAAACAAATGTAACAGTTTGACACGCAGATCCAGGCTTTCACTATACGAATTTCTTGACAGGACGTGTAACAACATTTTACTGCACTACTTAGACTGGACTTTGGGACGAAATGTTGCACTTTATACAAAAAAGCACATTAATACCAATAATATTCTGTTAGATCGACGTTTAGACTGTAATAATACAAAGTAATTCACATTTTGATACACATTTACTAGAACATTCTTGCCATTCAGTACAAATAGTTGAATTTCTACCTCTTCCCTCTGCCCCCCCACCACCTCCGCCCCCCCGCCGCCGCTCCGACCACAAATCCACATATCCCCTTATTCAACTTGCGATATAACTATTTACAAAATCAAACAGTACACTTTTTTTGTTGTTTTGTTTTTGATGCTAATAATTCTGTATTTACAAGAGGGGATGGGGGGGAAGGCCGCTGCCCGAGCAGACATGCAGTTGGCGATCTCTAATCAGTGGTTTCCAGTGAAGCCCTACACAGTTGGCATTTGCCCTGGTAACCTTGTCTTCTTATGCATTCTACTAACCCCTTCGCCTACCAAGCCTTGGAACAGAGCAGAACAGTCAGGAAAAAAAATTAAAAGGAAAAAAAAAAAAAGGAAAAAATTTTAAAAAGAGAGAGAGAGAAATAATGGAGGACAAAAAAAAAGAAAATAAAAATATTTTTAAAAATTAAGTCTTCATTTTACTCAGTCCTGGGTCTACTGGCAGCATTTTATTTTTGTTTGCTCATTTAAATTTTGATTTCAGAGTGTCCATTATTTTTGAGTCTTTAAATAGGGTATTTGTTTGCTCGCTTGGGGCTTTTTTTTTTGTTTCGGTTTGTGTTTTGTTGTTGTTGTTGTTTTGTTTTAGCGTTTTAGACGTACCATTCGTTAAAATTTGATGTAAGCGTGCTGTGGCTGGACGTGTGATGGACTGCGGAGGAGGAAGGGGATAAGGAGCTGGCAGTCTGGTTTTCTGTGGATGGAGACACGATGGTTGGAGGGGTGGAGGACTCGTAGCCTGAGCTGGCGGCGGGAGAAGGCTGGGACCCCTGCGAGGATGATTCATGGACCTGCAAGAGAAAACCCGGGCAGAGATAGAGAGCGGCGGCGGACGGAGGCCTCCGCCCGCGGGCACGGCCGCGCCGGCCCCGCCGCCCTCCGCCCGGGCAGGCCCGCAGGCCGGGCGCCCTCCGTTTACCTTCATGTGCTTTCGGAGGGAGCTGGGGTGCGTGTAGGACTTGTCGCACATTTTGCAGAGATAGGGCTTGTCGGAAGTGTGCACATGCATGTGCTTTTTGCGGTCGCTGCTGTTTGCAAAGCGCCTGTCACAGCCCTCGAACTCACACTTAAATGGTTTTTCACCTATTGCAGAGGGAAGGGGGAGGGGGGGGGAAAGGGATCTGATTAAGCAGGGCCGGCTGGATCGCTCATTGTCACCGCACCGCCGGACGGAGCTCAGGGCTCCATTTCAAACACTTGCAACTTTCTAACTTCAGCGCGGCTCAAATCCCAAAGCCTTGCTGCTAGTCTCTATCCTTTCCGGACCTCCGACTCCCGCAAAGCGCCCGGTTCGGAGACCAGGGGAGCTAAATAACTTTTTTTCCCCCCCTTTCCTTTGGAGGGGCGAGTTTCCTTTCAACCCCAGTCCCGGGCACCTCTCCCTCTTCACAACGCTCCGAGCGAGAGAGCAGGCGTGGTGGGATATTACACACGATCCTCAGCGTCTAGTTTCCGATTTTATAGCTCGTTCTCGTAATATTTTACTCTCTCACCTCCCCCCCCC